GTCTGGATGTCACAACATTTCTTAAAACTCAACCTTTCAAAAACTGAGCTCATGATATTTCCTCCTGCCCGTGCACCTTCCCCCAACATTTCAGTTGATAATTAATAACACAACTATCCAAACCTCCCCTCTTGCCAAGGTCCTAGGTGTCATCCTTGACTCGGACCTTACCTTTCTTCCCCACATCCAATCCCTATCCAAATCCTGCCGCCTTCACCTTCGTAACATCTCAAAAATACGCCCCTTCCTCACCAAAGAAACCGCAAAACTACTCATCCACTCCCTTGTTATCTCTCGTCTTGACTATTGTAACTCACTCCCTCCTCATTGGCCTTCCACTACACAGGCTATCCCCCCTTCAGTCTATCATGAATGCAACTGCCAGACTCATTCGCCTTACCAACCGCTCAGTGTCTGCATCCCCCCTCTGCCAATCCCTCCACCGGCTTCCACTCGCCCAGAGGATAAAATTCAAAATATTAACAGTCATGTATAAAGCCATCCACAACTCCGCCTCCGGATATATGTCAGATCTTGTCTCAAAGTATTACCCTAACCGTCCCCTCCGCTCATCCATTGACCTCCTGCTTTCCAGCTCCCTTGTCAACTCCTCCCATACTCGCCTCCAGGACTTCTCTAGAGTCTCTCCCATCCTCTGGAACTCTTTACCCCAACCTGTCCGTCTATCTCCGACCTTGACTGCCTTTAGGCGTTCCCTAAAGACTCATCTCTTCAGGGAAGCCTATCCCACCTCGACTTAACCACTGAACCTTCACATTCTCAAATAATTCATCCCCACACAGCTACCTCCTCATGTATAATTTCCCCCTCCTCTTTCAGATTGTAAGCCCTCAGGGGCAGGGCCCTCCTTACCATCTTGTATTGTAACTGTAATGTCTTCCTTATATTGTAAAGCGCTGCGCAAACTTTTAGCGCTATATAAATCCTGTATAATAATACGTAGGCGGAAGCTCTGTTTCTGCTGCTGTTAGTCAGCATGTCGCAGTGGAGGGGCTGGCACCGCACACAATTCTGCAGAGTATGTGACGTTGGAAGTCCTCTGTTTATTGCAAGGAATTGAGCTTAATGTGTCAATTGGCTACATTATTTCCAAATCATTATTGTAGAACAATATCCTGCTTTTCTAGTTGACTTCAATTAAAATTAAATTCTGCTGTTTCTCATTTTTATTAACTCTGTCTCTCTTTGTATTGTGATTTTGTTAGGCAAAGCTATTCCCACATTAAAAGCCATTAGATGCTCTTCCAACCAAAAGTCTCAGGAGTAAGTATTGTTGCATTTTTATCTCTTGCTATTTTCATTATGACTTATTCTCATTCTTATAGTTTATATTAGGAGTAGGAAAACTATGACCCTCCAGCTGTGGTGAAACTACAAATCCTGTAATGCATCTGACTCTGGGAGTCATGGCTATGGCTATCAGTCTTGCAATGCCTCAAGGGATTTGTAGTTGCACCACAGCTGGAGGGCCGGAGTTTGCCTACCCCTGGTTTTTATAGTCCTCTAGTAGGTTAAATTGATTACCCATTCATGCCAGTTTTGAAGAGTTTGGTGCTCTGACGTGCTGATCTATATTGCCTTTCTGTCAAGTGGCTTAAACTGGAAACACAGCCAAAAGTGTTTTTCCTGGTTTTGGACAGGGCGGGGAACAGTTAGAACCCCTGCCAGGTTAATATCACTTCCACTTTTTCTGTCCTGGTGACTGTTTTTGATGAGACAGAAATGGAGGGGAATCTAAAATGTTTAATTGGCCACCAGGAAAGAATAGAAAGAAAATATTCCTATGGAAAACCCTGTTACAGTTTCTGTTTCCCATGTGTCTGTAGGACAGGAAGCTAGGGCAAGCCTTTGCAAGAGAAAACTGTTTGCAAGTAGGATCTTAAATCTGTGCACTGGATAGCTGGCGACCGCCATAAGTGCGGCTCGCCAATAGGAATGAATGGGACCGTGGCACGCAGTAAGAACAGGACCTGGTGGGGAAATATTTGCTTTAAAGGCTGTGCGGTGAGGAAAGCTGGAATGGAGAAAAGAGCAGGCTACACACGGGGTGGGCTATTATTTAACCCCTTCATGACTGAGGCCCTTTTTTCCATTTTTGCACCCAGTTGTCAGTCACGAAGGGGTTAAAGGACGTTATACTAAAGTTACAGTTGTCCTTTTACCTATGTGCTTCCAACATACCCTAAGTATTTAAAAGTGGGGGCACCAAGTATGAGGTTTGTTTTCCTACCCCCTCTTACATGGCATTTTCCTTACTACTATGTCACTAGGCTCGCTTTAAGGGCTTATTCACGCGGCCATGCACATTTGCACAGCATGTGCACCTGTGCAGAGACCTGCTCCCGGTGCTTCTTGTAATTGCCTGCAGCTACTTGTACCTTCCTATGGGTGGAGGCGGCTACACAGCGACCTGAACCTGCACATATGTGCAGATCCAAGTATGCGTCCAAGTGCTGGCACCTGGACCTGTCAAATCACCATGTAGCTGCATGCTGCCATGTCCTCCCATAGGGAGGTACAGCCAGCTGCACGCAATCACATGCAGCTCCTGTCCCTCCCAGTATTCGCAGGCTATACGTATGCTGTATGGATGCCTAAGAACGCATACAGCAGCACAATATAAACTAAATGTAAACGCATATATTAACATTGCAGTGATTTTTGATCGGTGGTATTATACATGATGAAGGTATGTGGTAGAGCCTATCTCCTTGTGTAGATGTTTTATCATATTTTCCTGTTGAAATTATTCTTTTTTTTCTTTCTGCAGACACTTTAAGGATATCCAACGCACAGAGAGCAGTGGGGGCTCCATTGTGTTTGCTGACTCTGGAGAGGGGAATCCTCCAGCCGACTCTGCCTCACAGAGTGTTAACATGATGTCTGTAAATAGGAAGAAGTATTCTCTTGATCGCAAGATGCAAAACTTTACTGTGTCTGATATTTACTACCATGGGAACAAAGACTCTAATGCCAATATCCACCCCATGTCCAGTGTCTGTAAAAAGCTTGACACAGCTCAGGAATTGTGCCGGAGAGACCAGTGTCCATATAGCTCTGAAGATGACGATAGAAGTGACTCATCTTGTGATGAAGAAGATTGTCCTCAGAAGGAAATCTGTTTGCACCGATACTTTGAAGTATGTAGACACTTCTTTCGTATTTGTGTATGTTGTTAATCTACCTACCATAGATTTATGATATGAATATTGATAGGTGAGAATCTCTGTCACTGAGACTGGAAGTATTGTGTCCAGACAGTAATAAGCTGAAAGTTCTGCCCCTTTAAACGTTTAGAAAAAGAAGTTGTGGGTGTCTTTTGAGCTTTTGAAATGGAGCTTCAGATAATCAGCTTGGTAAAATAATATATTTTAAATAAATTAGAACAATGTGAAATATTAGAACTGCAGCTCACGGTATATTGAGACACCGCAGCTGAAGCGGATCCCGACAATTGTGCCGGGATCCGCCCAGCTGCGTGACTGACAGCTGGCTCTGCCTATCTAGAGGCAGAGCCAGCTGTACCCGCCCCCTCCCCCGTCCGTTCCCCCAGTCAGCGCTGGCGGATCGGAGCGGGGAGGGGGGAATCCAGCCCCTCCCCTGTCACGGCACAGAGCAGTGACAGGATCGAGAGGTGAGCGAACGTCTGTATATGTTCGCTCACCTCCCGATCTACTGAGCCGACCTGTGACAGTCTCATTGTCACAGGTCGGCAAGAACTATGAGGTGAGTGAAAAGTTTTCCTTTAACAAAAATATATATACACAATACAGTATATTGCAGCTTGCCAGTGCTTGGGTGTACCGACTGCATTCATTTTAGTTCCCTTTATTTTCACCTTGTAATCCTCCAAATCACACACTTCTGTCCCTTAGTTTTTTCCACTTTATTTATAGAAGGAGCCATGATTGTCACGTTGGCTGGACTTCAAACATGTCTGCCTTTTTCATCTTTGTTATATTGTAGATTGGTGGGGCTAGTAGTTTACACAAAAATTATAAGGATTTTTGTGCTTTCTTTTAAGCTCACTTGAAGTGATAAGGACATTGCATTTCTAGCAAGATCAACAGGTATTTTTTGTACTTGCTGAGAATGTTCTGAGCCTTAAAAAAAGAAAACTAATACAGCCACCACATCTAAGGACTGGTAAGCGGCAATATGTTACATTTTTGGTTTTGGGTTTATGTATGCATTCACTTTATTGAGCACGCTATAGGGACATGTAAAGAAGATAAGTGCTAAAAATTGCATGTTTTTTTCAAAGTGGTTGGTGCAATTGGGAGGCAATGACAATCAGTTTCTACCCTGGGGGGTGGAGGGTTGTATATCCTAGGTCTGCTCGGATTGTGGGTATGGTGGGTAAAATGTGGAAATAGGATGTATGCAGCGTAGATAATATAATGCAGGAGTTGAATATGTGGTACTTTCACTTGGCACAACCTGAAGGTTTTTGTCTTATGTTCCAGTAGGGAGGCAGTAAATTCTGTTTAGTGACTTATTATGGGAGTAAGCAATTTTACTTTTAATATGTGTTATATGGGATGCAGTTTGTGCTCATAAGAGCTATATACAAACAAGAACCTTGCCATATGTTTCTTCCAGATTCAGTATCACTTGATGTTGCATATACAGATGAAACTATGTGAAAAGTCTTTGTGGGACTGGATTGAAGAAAGGAATGAGCGTTACAGGAAAGGAAGAGATTCTTCAAGTAAGTCAGAATAATATTGAAATGATCTGTTTGATTTTATATAGATTGATTTCAATGGGCCAGGTGTCCGAGCGGGCAGAGCCTCTAGCCATCCAGTCGGAGCTAGAGAACTGTTGTTTTCCCTTCATCCCAGCGTTGATTGAGAAATCTCCAGCTGTTTCCTTTGTATTCTCTCAGCGGCTGCTGTCGGAATACCCAGACAAAGCTGGCAGCTCATAAGCTGCTTGCTCTGCTCGCTGACAAATTTCCGACATGCTTTTTCAATCAACTGATGACACACATTGAATTTTCGCCCAGTTCATCAAGAACTGGACGGAATTCGAAGCGTGTATGCCTGGCCTAACTTTTAAATCTACAAACCTGTTTTTTTATTTATTCTCTTTAGTACATAGGTTATATGACATGAGCCCAGCAAATTCATAGGCACATCTAGCTATATCGCTATCTGCTGTTGGTAGTCAGTCTTTTGGTGTAAATCTAACACTGCAAAGACTTTGTAAAGGTGCTCTTTCTTACAAGTCAGCAAGGCTTTCTGATCCCCTTTTTTTGCAGAGTTTGGTATAGAAGAACTTCAGTATACATAATACCATAAGGCTCATTTAGATGGGCATGGTGTGCGTGTGATTGCGTGCGACCGCATCCTCCCATAGGAAAGAACAGGCTGCTGTGTGCAAATACATGCAGATCCTGTCCCTTCCAGTATCAGGTCTTTTTACGGGCATGCACACCCATCTGAATGAGCTCTTAAAGTAACCAGCGGTTCTGTGCAGGGGTAGAGTATGGTCATGTATCTCATAAGTTATTAATAAGGGACATTTGAGTCAACCTACTAGTTTCCATTGTAGTTTTTGTAACATTGAGAACTCTTATACATAGCACAAATATGACTATCACCTAGTACATTATATACAAGTTTTGTAGTTCACAGGTAGTCAGAGAATTTATGCAGACTATTTAAAAAAAAAAATATGCTAGGACATCCTCTTGCTTCATATATTAACCTATAGATGTATAACACCTTATTTTATTAATCTCTTCTACACTGTGGTATTTAAAACACTAGTACATGTCCAATTCAGTCCTATGATTTTTTAGCATTTAAAAGGAACAGCTGTAGAAATGTTTTTTTCCTCGTATCTACTTCTATATCTCCTAATATTCCTAGAATATACATTGCAGGATTGCTTTATGAGAGTTGTTAATGATATTTGTCTTTTGTATGCTTTCATTAACTTTTCCACAGGATGCTTTGGGATTGTGGATGTACCTAGCACACTCCGGATATTCTACCAGTTACTTCAAGGAGTGCAATATATCCATTCCATGGGAGTCCTTCATAGAGATCTAAAGGTATGATGTTTAATGAATGTCAAAAGTGTGATCATGCCATAAGAAAAACATTTTATTTAACACACAATATAAACATAATTGCAGCCTTACATAGTCTTATACAGGTTCTTACTATGCTTTGTTTGGTACATGTTGTGTGGTTATTCCCTTTGTTATGAATCCCTATAGTACTTATTTGATACAAATTCTGTACATCATTAGAACTAAATATAAAGTGAGGATTGCACGCACATTGTTTATCATTTGATTCATTCTGTGCCTGAACAAAGTTTCAGCAGTTTTTTGAAAACCTTGAAATAGGTATCCATACCAGTTATCCTGTGTTCTCTGGGATTTTGAAGCCTTTAATTGGCATAGGGATCTGGAATTGACACTATACTGTGTAACTCGTATTTTCTCCAGCAGTTCCTACTAGTTTCATTATTTTATTTTAATATTTTATATGAAAAAATTCAGAAATAGGCATACAGTCAAGAAGAAACAAATTTGAAAATGGCAAATTGCATCTAAAAGTGGGATTCATACGGGTTTTCAGTGCTAAATGTAGTTTTGATTTTTTTAAAGATACTATATGTAGAAATGCTGTATATACAGTATAATATGTGCTGCTGTTTGAAGTAATGGCAAACAATAAAAAGATAAAGAATGTATCACAATAAAAGTTGTTAGGGTCTTTGACATTAATAGCTATAAATTAACTAACATATTGGCATGGATACAGGCCATAATTAAAATGTATGTGTGTGTTTAAATGAAGTCCAAAAATGCAGTTCTATAGCATGTAGACAGTAAACAGAAGAGCTCTATGTCCTGGTGCAATAAGGCACACCTCTGCAGATCTGATAGATGGACAGATATATACAGTGCATTTGATCATTAGCACCACTTCCTTTTAAAATAAAGCTTGGCCCTACTTGTATAGAGCTAATGCAGATTAAACTCTGCATCATTTATGTCCAGGAATCTGTATTGCAATGGCCCCTATGTGCTATGAACCAATCTATGGCCCTCTGTAGGGGCTGCCCTGCCCTAAAGTAACACTAAACTCAGGACTTTGAATGCATTCTCAAAATTTAACTTCTGAATTTAGTGTCAAATCATCTCTGAATTGGTGCTGACACTGTCCTTCCTTCTGGAAAGTGGCTACTTTTGTTCCCCATGGTCCCGGTGTGTGTTGTAAAGTAAGCCACCGCTCCATGCTCGCTCTTGTGATGGACTATAAACATATGTTTAGTTTTCTGATTTGTACTGAGATTATAGTCCATCACAGGAGTGAGTGTTAAGTGGTGGCTACTTTACAACACACACAGGGACCATAGGGAACAAAAGAAGTCACCCTCCAGAAGGAAGGACAGTGTCGGCACCAATTCAGAAATGATTTGAGAATCTGCAGCCGAGGGATACACGAATAGGATACATTTGTGTTAATAGGTACTTGACTGCTGCACTGGTCCTTTTACAAGCTGAGCAGTAGAACCTCTGCTTAGTGGAGGTTAGGGGGATACACTGAGGTATTTGTAGGATGCACTGGGTATGATTTATTTATTTATTTTGTCTTTCTTTAGCAAGCAGTAGATATGTGCCCCATGATAAAATAAAAATGTATAATAATAAAAGGTTTGGCAAATACCTAATTACTTACCTGTGTCAGCACCACTCCCTCCAGGCTGAAACGCTCCCGATCGGCTGTGAAAGAGGAAGTGTGTTGGCGCATGCGCAGTAGCGGGGAGAGGGAGAAAACACACTGAAGCTCAATGGACGCAGCCGGGAACGCACACATTGGAGAGACACTGTGGGACACGAGGAGTCTGCGATGGATCAGAGACCGGCATCAGCGCTGGAGGGACTGTCAGAAACAAGTGGAGTGAAGAAGATGATAGGTAAAGATAAAGGTGAATGCTTACAGCAGTAATGAGGGGGATTTGAATTTAATTATAAATTTACTTAAGCGTGAACTACCAATTACAGATACCACAGGGACCATTGTGGTACATTTTGTATGGGTTTGTATTGTGTAGTGCACATTTGGAGATGACTAGATCCTAACTGGATACTGGCAGTATTGTCGGATGGCAGCAATGGGATGTGTACTCATTGCTGGCACTCTAACAATGCAATGTTAGTGAAGGTGGTACATGTGTGGCAAAGTTTAGGAAAAGCTGGAAAAGAGGATAAGAAAAAGAGAAGAGATGTGAGAGAATAGGTGGTTAAAGAGAGAAAGAAAGCTTGTTACAGAATATAGAAGAAATAGCAAGGAATGCTGTTTAAGTGGAATGAAAATTTTTATTAAAGTAGTAGTTGTTAGTTGCCTGGCTGTTATGCTGACTCTTCAATACTTTCTAAACCTTTTGACCTGGAACAAGAATGCAGATGAGGAAATTCAGAATAAAATCAAAGTTCCTATCAGCGAACTTGTTCTGGGTAATGATTCCAGGTTTTGAAGCCAGAAGCGTCAAAGCATAATTAGCAATTGTAGAATGAGACCTCCACATTGGCAGCTGTCATCTTCTCTGAGGAAAGGCTAAATATATTAAAGCTGCACTAGGTCATCTTTTTGAGTTATCTGTAGCTAGCTATTACAATGAGCCCACATCTATTCTGTTGCACTAAGAATGTTATGTCTTTTTCGAGCAGCCAAGAAATATTTTCTTGCAAGGACCAGACCTGCATGTACGCATTGGGGATTTTGGACTTGCTTGCAGAGATATTTTAAAACATTCAGACCACTGGTTAAAGAAGGATGGGACCAATGGTGAGTGTGTTGTGTAAATGTTAATAGGAAAATGAATTAAATAGCCTGTGGGTATGTCTGTCAGGGTGGAAATATTATACGCAGCCCTACCAACCTAGTTTGAGCCAATGAGTGCAGACAGGTTAATAAAAGTTGCGTTCTGATTGGTTGCCATGGGACACGTTAATATTAGATTACTGTTCTGTGTGCAGTACTTGGCGGCTGGTGAAGCCATCTGCAGACACAGGGAGAGGAATTTATCAATACCTGGAGCAGACAAAATCTGGAGCAGTTGCCCATGGCAACCAATCCGCTTCTCCCATTTTCAAATCATAACTGAACAAACTACTGCAACTGCTCCAGGTTTTGTCTGCTCCAGTTTTGATAAATTTCCTTCATGGTCTTTCCCCTCCTCTTTAATTCCCTTCTGCTTGGCACTCTAAAGAATCTGAAACTTTCAAATGCACCTTTATCAATTACCAGGAATTTTGCCAAGGCTGAAGCGGTAAACAAGAGTGAAAACAGCAGTCGGGAAAGTAAGTAAAGGCAGCACAGGTGCTTTCTAGATGGAAGGGGTATTTTTTTTTTTTTCAAATTTAGGTTTTCTTTAAATGCTCACCTATTCAGACAAAGCTGTAATTTGAGTTAAGCTATTCTATTGTATTCGGTTTCTGACCTAGCACTTGCCTTCTCTTCCACCATCTTATCTGGCGCTTACCTTTTCCCATTTCTTTTTCCCCCTCCAGCTCTTATGCTTCCAGATTGTTGGCTTAGTAGACCTCTCTATCTTCTACTGTTAATAACACTTAATTTTACAACTTACATCTGTGTGTATTTGTCTTTAGAACATTTGATGTAATTTATTACCTGTACTATCCCCCCCCCCCCCCTTTTTTATATACTGAATATATTGTACATTTCCACAGAAAATAATGGAGCTACCTAAATCAGATTTGTTCCTTTGTGTATGATGTTGTATTAGACAAAGCAGCATTTAAAAGTGCACCTCCCTTGCTTTTCAGTTGGTTCCTAAAATGATGCACTACATTACTGAGGATTTAAAAATACATAATCGGAGCATACCTAAAGTGAAAACCACTCATCAAAAGCATGGTTAGATTGAAAGTAGGCTGCTAGTTTATATGCAGATCTTTTTACCTGTAAATGTCAAACCTCCTGCCTTCAGAGCCTCCACATTGGTCCTTCAATGTGATTGATAGTCTCTGCAACCTACAGGAAGGCTCGGGAAGTTGAAGAAGTGTAGCCAAGCCTAACTTTCAAAGGAAACATATATTTACATCTTACTCCCAACAGTTTATACATCTGGATCTATAGTTTATTGCCCAACTCCAGGTATTTAAAAAAAAATTATAATTTAAAAAAATCTCACCCCCCATTTCCAACAATGAATGATTTAATTCTCGTTTTGCCTGGAGCATGCTCTAACACAGAGTAAAATTTACTTTTATCCATGTTTTACAGTCTTGTTACCTGCCGATTTATGGTTATGACCCGTGGCCACCACATTTTTTAATATTTATTTACTTCATATGATACATTTTGCATTATATACTGCATTTATAATGCCCAGGTTTGCATCGGGCTTAATTCTAATATTTCTCTTTGTAACTGTATTCCTTTTTATAAGGCATAGGTAACGAATACATACTCTAATTGTTGTAAAGCCATTTTTTTTATTATGACGTTCTCAAAAGGTTAAGCTCTAACAGAATACCATGTAACTTGTCCCACGCAGATTCAACGCATACATCAGGAGTTGGCACCTGCTTATATGCTGCTCAAGAACAGTTAAAAGGATCACAGTATGATTTTAAGGTACAGTATCACTTGTAAAGCTGCTCCAAACTAGCCCTTCTCAACTTTTACCCCAGAGGAAACCCTAAAATCATTTTCAGGTCTTGGTGAACCCTTACTAAATCCAATACATCATGTGTCAAGGCCAGAAATGACACACTGGTGATCAGTAAGAAGAATGCAACCATCACAGTGGTGGTTAGAATGTCTCCTTTACAGACAGCCAGAAAACGATAATTGTCATGCTGCTGGCTTTGCCAAGTGGTGTTGGTCCTGGAACTATGAAGGCACCATAACATGGGAGGTCAACCAGCCACAGCTCAAGGAACCCCTAGCAACCTCAGAATGAACCCTGTGGTTCCATGGAATCCTGGTTGAGAATGGCTTCTCTGCACCAAGATAAATGAATACATTGCTGTACTTGTATATTACTTCTGTCAGTATCAATATGCAACATGGAAAAAAATCAGCAGTTCTAACACTCAGTTGTATATAATTCCAGTTTATTGTGCTTAAAACCTGACATTATGTCTTGCAGTCTGATATGTACAGTGTGGGTGTTATACTACTGGAACTCTTCCACCCGTTCTGGACTGAGATGGAGAGAAATGATATTTTAACATCACTGAGCAAAGGCATTATTCCAGAATCCTTTGAAACTCACTGGCCAATGCAAACCAAATATGTTAAGCTACTGACCAGCGCAGACTGTACACTACGACCATCTGCAGATCAAATGCTGAAATGTGAACTCTTTAGTGAAAAGGAAAATGTAAGTATTAAGGATAATGTTTATTTAAAGGGCAGTTTCTCCCTTTTATTTTATAGTGGCCTCATGGATAGAAAAGCAAACCACTGTCCAGTGTTAGTTCAGTTAGGCAACCCAAGGGGAGGATTTGGTATCAAGAACATCAGGTACAGTGACATTGTGAGATCACAAAATTGCCCGTGGCATCTTTGTATTGATATGTAACATTTACAATTTTTTTGCACAGCTTAGACTTGGTCAGAGACATGTTTTAAAGGAGACATTTGGTGAGAAACTATGGAGGGCGAAGTTACTAACCTCTCCTGAAAATGCCAGTTGCCTGGGTTTTCCTGCTCCTCATTGTCCTCAGTTTGCAGACCTGGAAGATATAAGATGATCAGGAATTATTACACTATTTGCCATGTTCTTGCTTCTGGTCAGAGACTGGGTGTAGGGACCAGAGACAACTAGGAAATCAGTATTTTTTGAAGGGGGTAAACAATGGCAGCACCACCATATTTCTCATAGTACAAGTTTCCTTTTTAAAGCCTTTTAAAGCTATTTAAACAAATGTTTTCCTGTAGTTTTGGATGGAGTCGGGGTGTCTGCCAGGTTTGTATCTGTCTGGGCCACACCAGGACTCTGTCTGTATTCCGTTAGAGAGGTTTCCCATCATTTTCCTGTCCTGAATCGAAGTGAGGGAAAATCTTCCCAATAAGGATACACAGGGTTAACAAATTAACTTAAGGCCCCATTCACACTGAGCGATTTATCGAGCGATTTTTTGCAGCGAAAGCGCTCATATTTCCGCGCGATATCGCTCTATGTAGCTTCTCCAATCCATTTCAATGGAGGTGTTCACATCTCGTCGCTCAATATCGCTTGTAGCTCGTCGCTGGTAGCTTGTCGCTCCTACATGACCCTTTTTTCGAGCGATTTTGAGCGATATTGCTCCTGATTGCATACAGCCCAATAGGAAAAAGTCGCGCGATTTTCATGTCGCTCAGTGTGAATGGGGCCTTAGAGGTGCTAACCCTTTCCTGATCTCTCCCAAAAGGAAACTATAATAAGTTACGGTCAGTTTAATTTATGTATTCAATTTCAGTTTGTAAGTTTTTTTTTAATATTTTTTTTTTCCCATCTGATGACTCATTTGAGTTTTGTATGCAGGTTTCTTTTAGCACAACTGAAACGCGATCATGCTAATGATGTAAAAAGGAGACTGAAGCACCACCTGGTGGCTTGATAAAATACATTATTTTAATATGTAATCATTTTTACCTAACAGACCAGACAAGATTGTTTCAGGACCCAAAATGCCTCCCAATGTATCCCTATACTATTTCTGGCCTCTGTTCCCACCAGTACAGTCCGTTCCAGACCAGGCCAGAAAAATACTGCATTTCTCATTTTGTCTGGTCTGGAATGCACCTGTAAGACCATTTTAAGCTAAAAAAAAATATTTCCAATCGCGGCAAAAACGCACTGTACCGCGTTTCAGATCTGGTCCGGAAAATAGTGTGAACCCAGCCTTAAAGAAACTTTTGTTTGTTGTTTTTTTTTTTTTTTTTTAATCCTGACCATAATAAAAGAACAAAAAGTCACAAAGCTGCAATATATTGCCTTGAAATCACACTCCACACAGTCAGTAGCTGTATGCTTAAGAAATCTGCAGTGTGGTGGCCCAGCTATCACACCTCTGTGACAAATGTTATTACCTGGATCTACTGGCAAATCAATATTTATCATTTCATCACTATCCACAGTAGTCTCACTCTGAAGGATTCATTGCCATGGTTCAGGTGGCTGTTGTGGAATCACTTTTACTGGTTATTTGATTTCCACAATAGGCTTGTAATCATCATCATCATCAAACCAGTAAATATGTCATATATAAACACTAAGGCGAGGTTTTCACTCTTCCCCATGCACTTACTTTCCCAGTTAGGTAGGAGAAGCAGTTTCTTGATTGGCTGATGTAGAGTCGTGGAAATTGAATTACTAGTAAGAGTAATTCAGGACTTTTAGAAGGAGACCTAAGCAATGGCAGCCTCAGTGTTTCACTTTTGAAAGGTATAAGGGATAGCAGTACAGTTGATACACATTGTAATGTCGGTGTTGACAGACAAGACTTTCTTTTTCTGGCACTATACCCCTTTGGTTGTGGACCGCATAGCAGCTACTTGGGCTACAGCAGTAGCAATAGAATTTCAGAGGTGACCTTTCATGAGAGAAATATGAAAGCTGCCATTGCTAACTGCCTCATGCTAATCCTGTGGCTTCAGTACATACGTCGCTGCCCTTGTTGAAATCAGAGCTTCTGATCTTCATAGTTCTTACAGGTCAATGACTCAAATATTGAATTGCATCCAGGCAACTAGCATAATGTATATTTTGCTTTCTTTTTTTTTCCTCATGTGACTAGGTGATCCAAGATCTGCAGAAAAAAGTTCTCACTTTAGAGGAGGAAAACGAGAGACTGAAAAAGAGCTTAGAACTGCTACAGGAACAGATGGCAAGCAGAGTTGGAATAGAATCTCCAGTATAAATGGCTCTTCACCACATGCTAACTTGTCCCTTGCCTATAGTGCATTAACCTGCACATTGTAAAATAAAATAACGTTATTTGTATATATGTGTCTCCTTTTGTGGAGCTATACCTGTGAAATGATAAACTTGGAAAGCTGTATTAATGGTTTAGTTGATAGTATAAACATGTTTTTTTATAAAGTTACAAATTATGAAATATGAGTGTATTTGGGATCAGATTTATGACAATAATTTCTACAGTAGTGCACTTTGTGTGATGTCATTACACAAAGTAATGAGGACCCTACCATGAGGACCCATTAATTTTGTTTTATTATAGTGACACGTATTATCGCAACACGAAGAGCGTGGTGTATTGGGGTACTATTTATTGTGAATGGCACACACAAACACGTGTTAGAGCATCATAGAGCACATTAAGTGTGTTCTGGTCCAGTCCATCCCCCTCAACAAAAAGGGGTCATGTGCATTTTTTTGACCCATCACATTGACAACCTATTCTTAATGCAACACATGTTAACGCTGAACAATATGCAGTTGAGTCACCAAGTTCCCAAATGACTGCGCACGTACACTGTACATGCACAGCCATTTAGGGCTGTGGAATGCTGGTAACTGAATCGCTAACGAGGCATCCATTAATTTAAATGTTTTAAGCAGTTTCAGTGGTCGGGTGTGTGGCAGTGATAAGAGTGCGGTGTGAACCACACTTCCTATTACTGTAAGGCAGCCGTACACATTGGGATTAGCAATAAAAAGGCTGCCTGCTCCCGTTCCCCCTGTACTAACTGCAAACAAATAATTCCAAGAAAGAAAGATTATACTGTTTGAAAGATTTTTGGCCAGTTGCATTCTGGTTTTCTGTGTGCCTTGCAAGATCATGCTTTTTCAACCTGTTCTCGATTTTTCTTGGTTGCTCTACTGTACACCAGTAATTGCAAGAAAGAAATACCGGTTTAAAATGGAACTAAACCTACCTTGACTTCAGTGATGTGATAGCACCGAGTTCCCTCATCGGTATTTTCCCACTCTTCTTCGGGGTTCAGCATCTTTGACTGTCTTGATTGGCTGGCTCTGGATGACGAAACGACCACGCGTCGTCAATGTAGAAACTAAGCCAAAACTCTTTCGTTTTGGTAGGAGGGCTTATAACTCCTGTCAGCTTTTTGCCATCTATATCCCATAAGCAGAGATTTCCCTTTATCTTCTGTCTGATGGCCACAACAGGAATTGAGAGAATCCCTGGTGGTCAGTAGGGTCACTAGAACTAGTGTCCACACTGGAAGACTTCCCATCTATTCCTGTTCTGGTGACCACCCAAAATGTAGGATCTTCTTTCACTTTGTGTGTGTGTGTGTGTGTGTGTGTGTGTGTGTGTGTGTATATACATATACATATATATATATATCTTAGGGCTGGTAATGATTAAAATTTTCCTGTTCGATTAATCGAAATTTTTTTTAATCGATTTAATTTCGATTAATTATAACGCACATACAGATCCAACTACATTTGGCCTATACACATACAGCACAGCAATGAAGTAATAAAATGAACTAGGATCACACTAATCCAGCACGTTATTAATCTCACGTGCCCCACTCAATATGGCCGCCGCTTGAGTGGGGCAACTCAGAATAATAACGTGCTGGATTAGTGTGATCCTAGTTCATTTTATTACTTCATTGCTGTGCTGTATGTGTATAGGCCAATACACACACACACACATATCCCTTTATATTAAGTGAAAGAAACTCATCTAGAAGTTTCTTGAATGTATCTATGCTATCAGCAGATACCACTGCCTGTGGAAGGGAATTCCACAGTTTTACTACTTTCACAGTAAAAAAAACCTTTATGTACTCTAAGATTGAACCCCCTTCTTCTAACGTCTTGTTATGTTCTCGTGTTCTCAATACAGTTCTCGGTATGGTCCCCGTTGATGATTTTAAGACTGCAATAAGGTCCCCACATAATTGCCTCTTTTCTAAGGAGAATAAGTTTAATTTTTTAAGGCAATCTTCATAACTCAACTCCTAATGTACCTCTAATTATTTTGTAGTTCTTCTCTGGATTCTCTCTAGCTTGAGGACGTCTTTCCTGAGAGTTGGCGACCAAAACTGCAGCGCATACTCAAGATGAGGGCAAACCAGTGATTTATAAGTGGAAGTATTACTTTTATCCCTTGCTACAATCCCTCGGCATTGCTTACTATTGCGCAATCTGTGATCTATGAGCACACCCAGGTCTTTTTCCATGTTAGACTTCTCTATTGTAGCACCCCCCCAAGTTGTCGTTTGCACACCTGTTCTTTGGTCTAATGTGCATAACCTTAAATTTTTTTAATATTAAATTCCATTTGCCATGTTGTAGCCCAGGCCGCAATTTTATCAAGATCCTGTTGAAGTGCAAATATCTCCTGTTCAGAATGTACTGCCCTACACAGTTTTGTATCGTCCCCAAAAAAACAAAATCTAACTATTTATTCCACTCTATGTTGTTAATTGATCAGATAAACAGGATAGGTCCCAAGACCAAACCCTGGGGGCACCCCACTTTTTCCAAATTTTAGTGATAATGATCACCTGGACAAATGCAGAGGATGAATTTCCTCTCGGGGACAAAGACCACAATGATGGTCAGGTGGAAAAAGTGCAACAGATTCCTCCATCTATGCTAAACTGTAGATGGAGGATTCTCCCACTGGGCCAAGCTTCAGTATCTTGTTAGTCAGCCAAGCTGGCTCTCAAAACACCTGAACAATGCATGCATCCAATCAGATTGTTCAGGCATTTTAACAGCCAGAAAATCTGCTGATAATCTATAGGTGTATGGCCAGCTCAGGCCAATGCAGAGAATTTACACCGTAAAGAAGCTTGTGAACAGGAAGGTAAGAAGCATTTATTGCATTAAAGACATGTCTCTTCTGCAATAAAAAGCCTTCTTGCTTGCATTTTTTTGCTTTCATTTTAAACATTTTGGCAGTTGGAGTCCATTTTTTGAAGTAGTTAAGAAAGATGGGGCATTGTAAGTATTCTATGATGTGTTTATATCTTTTTTTTCTTCCTTTTTTTGTTGTTGTCAAGCTGTAGAATTGAGGTAAGATTACATGCTGCTGCTTGTATGATTTTTACGATATGAAACTATCTAATGAACTGAGACTCGAGAAGTAATTCCTGCTATTAGAATGGATTACTGCTAATGAGG